GATCCGTCCGAGCCATCCACCTGCGGCCTCCCTCGTCTCCGGTCTTCTTGACTCTGTCTTGACACCGGGCCCAGGCGGGGGAGGAGGAGAGAGTGCAGGTAGATGCAGCGCAAGTCTACCCGCACTATAAACCCCTGCGCAATTCACCGTCCCTGCTCCCACCGCTGCTGCAGCTGTGGGGCACACGGTGGACATCGTCGAAATCGACGGTCGAACTGTCATTCACCGTCGGTAGCCCAGGAGGTGAGAGCTGATAAATATCACCTCAAGCTGGATAGCATGTGAATGCAATAAGTAGGTCTGGACACCCGTACTGACAAAGATAAGCAATTGCACCTGGCGTGAACTGTCTGTGTATGTAAATGACAAAAATCAGTAGTCTTACAAAATTTGTTGCATTACCGTCGTTTACAACCGCATCATGCATAGGAATATATTCTCCAGAGCGCAGCTTGGTCTGATTCAAGCGAACGAAAAGCAGGCCTCCTGTTCCGATTTTTTGCATACATATCAACAATGTAGTGATGAAGCAATTGACGGCATTTCAAAAGGGGATTACTTACATTCTTTCGAATCATAAGTCGGTAGGAGAAGCGGTTCATTGCGTTGCATTTCATGTGCGTTTCCTCGGCACTGACTGGGTTTATCATCTTAACATTGAAGTGATACCCATCGGCACCATCCCGTTAAGTAAATAGATACTGCGTTGAAATCGGTATCGGACTGCCGATATATATGGTATCACCTTACCCTAAAATCGTTAGTCTTCTAACACTTGCTGGCGTACCGTCATTCACAACAGCATCACGCAGCGTGAACGCTGATCACCGAGTCGTGTTTGACGCTGGTCTGCTGTTCCTTGCTGGCGCCATTCAGCCACTCTCAGTTTGTTGTGTTCATCCTCTTATGAACGGAGCAGACCTGGAGCTGCCGAACGCGGTGGCCGTGACCGCAAGCGGGCTTTCGCAAGCCAGGCTGCACGACACTAGGCTGACACTGGATGACAGGCCCCTTATGTAGGTTGGGCGTGGGCAGAGGGAAGGGGGTTTTGTTAACCGCATCCAGTCGTCGCGCCCGAGAATCCCAGCGGAAGCAGCGGCAGCCCAATTATGTGGGTAGTGTGGGGCAAGTTCAAGTGGAGCCCAAGAGTTGCGTGTTTTTTTTTTTGCTGCAGGATGGGTGGTTTGCCTACCGGCCCATATTGCATCGGCCCAGAGGGGGTGGAGGGCCTGCTCAAGTGTCTGCAGTGTGGGTGGTGGGGTGAGCGCGGCTGTCGGGCGGAGCATGTGCGTTTGAGCGAATGTCGGCCAAGTGGCCACAGTCTGGGCGCACATGTGTCCGCGCGGATGTAAGTCAAGTGGCCGCAACAGGTGGCGTTGGTATGCTGGAAAAAATCCAGTTTTTTACTCATCACAGGAGTACCATCGGCATAATTACAACAATGAACAGACAAAAACCCAGTCCTATGCGCGGGTCGGGTTGTGTCCAAATTTCAGCGAAATCGGTGCTGTACTTTCGGAGATTAGATATAACACAGAAAAAAAACCCTTCCATTTTATATATATAGATTTGCTTTGGGAAATTTGGCTTTAAATGGTTTTCAATTCAATGACAATTATGAACCCAAACTGACGTCGCACATGTCTGTATGGATTAAGACCATACAGTGTAGTTGACAAGAAACACTTCGAGTTCATTTGTCACCCAGAGATGTGTGACTTTTTAAATTTGGTTCCCAAAAATGCCCAGAGCAAAGACTTAAACACGAAAATTGGAGCACATGCAAGGCTTTTATATGTCCATGAGTCATGGTTTGCCAGTGCTGTTGAAATGTCGCATCAATAGGGCGGGAAACAATCGTGACATCTGAGCATACAATGCCACCAGTAAATGTTGAGGACAATTTCGTGCATCAATTGGTATTAAGCTGACCAACAAAGTCAGATTAGTTAACAGCACTTGCATCTTCTGTGGAATATAAGTGATACATTTCAGGTGCATCGTATTAAGTGCCTAGTGTGTAAACAAGTGTCATACGTTGCTCGCCTGTCACCTTGCAGCATACTATTGAAGTTCACGAAAAAAAGAGGAAGTCGAGCCTTGGGAAGCATTCATACCCAGGTTTCAGTGTACTTTCCGCCGACCTTCCTTACTGCCTATTCGGTGCACAGTTGAAGATATTGAGCTGTTACAGTGGGGTAGTCAGATGAACATTTCCATTGCAGAAGAGCCGGCCAAGAGTAATTCGTTCGCAGCAATTGACGGAGATTCTGTGGATATGCTCAGCACATCTGTGGGTTGTCAGTTGAGTAAATGCATGCATTGGTTGGAGAATCTGATGACAGTAAGCTATAATTCCATATCAGGTTCCGAATGCATTCAAATATCATGCAATTCTGGTCATCCATCAACATCATTTCAGCTATGTCATTCACGCCGGTTTCGGAGCACAATATCATTTGGTCGCTGGCAATGACCACATAACATATAGATTGACCGTTTACGTACAATGCTTCTTAGATCAAATGCCCATTAGTTTAAATATATTCATAGTTAACATCTACAAAACCACTAATATTAATAAGAATCTGTAGGTACCTTACATGTTTATCAATTTTTTGCTTTGGGAAATTCGGTTGTAAAATAGTTTTCCATTCAGTGACAATTATAAACCCAACCAGACTTCGCTCATGCCTTTATGGATTTAAAACGCCAAGCTGTCTGTCTTCGGAAGACATTTTGCACTGGATTAGGACCATAGAGTGTAGTTGATATGAAGCACAAAAAATGGAAGGGATTTTTTTGTGTTATATCTAATCCACGAAAGTACTGCACCGATTGCGCTAAAATATTGACACAAAATAGCCAGCGCATAAGGCCGGGAGTTTGTCTGCTCAGTTTTGTAATTATGCCGATGGTATGCCTGTGATGGGTAAAAAACCGGAAGTTTTCCGGCATAACGCCACCTGCTGCGGCCACTTGACCGATACTCGCTCACACGCACGTGCTCCGCTAACTACACCGCAGTGAGAACTGACTAGAAAATGTGCCCTAAAATATCCAGGTAGTAACGATGTCCGTAGGCTGGTAGTGGGAGAAGACAAAAAACACACGGTCGAAAAAATCAAACCATAGACAACAACCAACTCTCTCTCTCTTTCACTTCCTGCAACATCCAACAAGAGAAACATAAAGAGAAAGAGCGGACGTCAAGGATATCTCAATCAAGCATAAATACAATCGGAAAGCAAATCGTCAACTCTGCGACAATCATCGAGGCATCTCATTGCTGAACATCAGAGGGAAAATGTTTGATCAAATCCTTCTGAACAAACCCCTAAATGAAGAACTGCCAAAAATCCCGTGCGGACTAAATGGTCATCGCAGGATCACGCACATGAATCGCGGGACTTGCAGGGCGACTTCGCACACACTGGCAGCCTGGAATGTTTGCTGCCTCTTAGACAATCGGAGGAGCAACCGACTGGCACGATTAGATCGGCGGAGGAGAAAAAGGAAGATGCTGAGAGTTGTTTATTCTTTCGTTCTACCGGACGTCCCTTTTCCGCATGCGGACACGGCCAGTCTGCAGACGGCATGGATGCACAGCATTTGACTAGGAAAACTATGCTATCCCGCTCCCCTGGAGACAACGAACCCAGGAGTGTGAGGAGAAAAAGATGCACTGGATAATGTGAAAATTTACAAAAAATACAAATTATTTCACCCAAAATTCGTCAATTACAGAATGGTAACCGGACGTATAAGTGCTGATTGACCAGGCTAAGAGCATGAATGACTCTCGTCCGTATGGACAATCATCTTCGGCCTTATCCTCGCCAGCATAAATATCCTTGCGTGATCCGCTATCTAGCATACAAAGGGAGCTCATTTTTTCTTCCAAACGGCTGTTTCTCACTCAAATGCATCGGATAAAATAAACAGCCGCCTAATTCCAGCGCTGATTTCCTGACAGATACGTCATATACAAGATCTTACTCATAGCGCAGTGGTTAGAGGCATGGATATTCAACTGACAGGTCGCGAGATGGAGCAGTGGGGGTTCCACACTCTGGGATTGAGTATGACAGGCTGATGACGGCTACTAAGCCAACAATTGCCACTTCAGACTCCCTTGTCTTTGTCGGTAAAGCCAAAGTGCCTATATCATGCGCCGCTCAGCGGTTGATGGTTGGGCTCGAGAGAGAGAGCCTCTAAGGCACAACGAAACAAGTGAGGCCCGTATGAACTATCGATGAGCGCCCCCTACCATCCAGATCTAAAGGTTTGCCATCCGATCTTACAAAGACCTTCACTCAATCGCCCGCAGATTTCGTATCGCATCAGAATAGTTATGCTAAAAATCTCCCATGCAATTTTACACTCGCTGCGCCCTACATCAGCACAGACAGGACTAAATATATGTCCGTATTCG